TGATCCAAAAAAATTAAAAATAATTTAGCCATACATAGGAATAGTATTACAATAAGTATATAGGTATAGGTAGGTAGGTCGTAGGTACCTATAAGTGGTGTAATAACTATTATTGTATATAATTTATAATATAAATGCGTAGGTAGCAACTTTTTTTTGGTTTTTTCAACAACACAATCATTATCAAATATCATTGTCATTGTATTCTCGGTTTTTTTTTCACAAGTGGAAAACATTAAAATTATATTTTAAAGAATGTCTAAATTGTACATAATATACTCACCGCCGTCACCGGTTCGAAAACTGACTAATAGTGAATGACTGCAACATTCACTTGCAGCCGTGATCACAGTCATCGACAGTCTTCTTTTTTCCGACTTTCATAAAATATAACAAGCGCATTACACCATAGGCCATAGCATTGCTGCGCCAATGCTATAAAAAAATGTTGATTGATGCAGTAAGTGGGGAGGGGGGGGGGGGCGAGAGTGTGGTAAAACATTGTTGATTTCAAATACTAAGTTTATTTACTAAACAATTTTTCAAATTTCTCTACACTCTACGATAGTTGATCCGCAATGCAGTTAAAAAGTTGAAGAAGTCCTTATTAATAGTAATTATTTAAAGGAATTAGGTAATATTATGTAGTACTTATACCTACTTAGAAATAGGTAAAAACTATACTAAGTGAATACATTTTATCATCAGGTTCCTAGGGTACTTAAATTTTTTTTTTTCATTGCATTATCTTAGTCTATACGGTTTTATATTTTGTAAATAAAATTTAAAACAATTTAAACTAGTATCTATACTGGTTTAATTGTCTATATCAGAGGTTCCCGAACTTTTTTTCCAAGAGCCAATTTTTTCCATTTTCGTAGACCCCTTAAAATTGAATTTTACAATATAATCTAGAGGTTTTTATAGCTTACCCGAAACTACTCACTTAAATAATCTTGGAGCGCAATTTTTTTAAAATAAAAAACGTGTCATTTTTACATTTTTAATAATCCCTTTATATCTTTAATAATGACAATATTCAAATATTTTTTTTTAATAATTGAAACTATAGGAAATGCAAATTAAATGTAATAACATCGAAAAAAAATTCAAGGTTAGTGTTAAAAAATTATATCTTTAATGGGGAGAGTGAGACTGATGCTTTGATAGTACATTTTCAATATTTGGCTTCAAATTAGTCAGATTTAACCTCAAATCTCCCTATAAAGTTATAGATAGGTAGGTATAAATAACTCACTGTCAGGAACTGAAGTCAGAAGTATAACAGAAGTATATTAGAAATTAATTGAACATTTGCCGACTTTTGATATACGGTGCAATAATTGATAGTCACCCATTATCCTATCAAAAAAGGTCCTCCACCTGAATACGACCCCACATTTACATAGGATCTATAATACACTTGTAGCCAATTATAGGCAATAGCAATATACATAAACAGTCTTGTAAAAATCTTTTATTTTGCATACGAAATACGTATAGGTATTCGAATAAAGGAGTATTACCTAAAGTATTCCGAATACATATTCAAATACATCTGGAAAAATATATTCTGAATACTTATTCGAATACTATGAAAATATATTTTAATAATAATTATACAAATATTTGTCAGTTTTGAAATGGTTCGAAATTAACGTGGGTCAATCACATTTCATTCAAAGAGAAAAACCATTATTCATAACTTGAAATGTGCCCGATTTTTAATGGAAAAATTTGTTTTGTTACAAATATGAACTATTTTTAGAGTTAAAAAAATGTTCAGTATACGTATTTAAATAATTTTTTCAAAAAATACCTATTTAAAATAGTATTAGAATAAAAAAAAAAGTATTTAAATACTTTTATTTGAATACATTTAAAAGATTGCATACAGGGCTATAAATAACTAATACGTTATGTTTTCAGACATCAGACATTCAGTATAATACTATAATGTGTTTATACATAATTTATACATAATTTACAGACTTTCTGTCTGGTTCGAAAAACGATCTGCCATTGAGTGTCGATAAACACTATTCGATGAACTCGCGATTATATTATCTTGTTCCACACGTGGTTTAGTTTTCATGTCTGGCAGGTTATTATTATATTATTATGTCGATTGTTAACCGTCTGATCTGCTGAATCTTTTCGATTTAGGTACGTATTCTACGTTGTTTATTATCAATTGCCATCTTATGACATGACGTTTACAAACAAGGTTAAACCGTTAAAGCATGCAATATGCTCATCTCCATTTTCTCCATTAGTTAAAAATTTGTGTAAATCCTGAGTTTTGATATTTATAAGTACTATAGTACTTATAATGGTCCCTTTATGGAGTACCTAATGGTACTTGAGGACCATTATTTCAAATACTTTTTGTACTATCCAAGGAGTACCCTGTGGCAATATAAAATTATGTTTCCAAATGATAGCCAATTTGTACAATGATTATAAATAGATACTTTTTTTGAGTATAGGTTTGAAAGATATTGGGGAAATAATTTCATGGCAACAATTTTGAGGGATCCAGCATTTTTTTTATATAGATAAATACTTACTGGACACTTATAATTTTTACGTTCAAAATATAAAAACTCTTTATTATTGTCACTAATACCGCTTTTACAAAAATATAAAATAATTCTCAACTCAAAAATCAATACACAATATTCATAGTTAAGATTTTTCTACTTTTAAACAATTTCTGATGGGGGAGGGGTAGGGTCCGGAAAGGTGGCTTTTATTTTAAAAATATGTTGATTTTGCTACATAACCCTTCCACTATTAAATGATGGTAAAGACGAATCTATAACATTAGGTACTATTATTAAAGTTAGTGGGCTTAAGATAGGGGGGGGGATCATGTTTTTGTGAATCACTATGTACGTAGGTATATTGGTAATGTGTAGTGCATACTTACATAATATTGCATTTACCGATTCTTCAATCTTGTCATCTTGACACTAGACTTCGACCTTGACTCATTGTGATCGACGAACGACGCGATTGCACAGAGCGCGTGGACGAAATTCACGAAACATTTTTTGCGTCGCAGTAGTATTTATTTGTAATTTAATAGCACAATATAAATGTATATTTAAATGATTTTTATATTCCTTTGTTTATTCTGTTCCACGACCAGAACACGATTTCTCTTGTGAATTTTTTTTTCTGTTTAGAAAGTCTTGGTTATGTTAATTTTAATTTTACATTATAATGATGTATTATTAAATTTATATCAGTTCTCAGTGGTTGTCAATCAAAGTACTGCGACCCAATTTTGGGTCGCGAATAATTTTAAATGAGTCCAAAAAATGAGTTATAAAAGATGTAATAAAAGTAATAATATATATAATATATGTAAAAAAAAATTAAATTTAAAAGTTTAGTTATGGTAATAATTGAAAAAAATAATGTGTGGGGGGGGGGGGGGCGGCTGCTGACCTACCTATTGAACATTATTTTCAAAAACCTTGCATGAAAAATTTGATAACACACCAAGGTTGAGAACTGCTATAAATTATTACTTAGGATATGGGCATATCCGACCTCCTCGTCATCTACTGGTGCTGCGAATTTTATTAGAGTATTTAAAAAAAAAAAAATATTCAAAACGTTTTATCTTGTTTAACCCCTTTAAATATGTCGAGCAATTTAAATATGAAGTTCATTTATTCTTTTCTGTAAACGAGTTAATCTTTAATTCACGAAGTTAAATTGAATGGATGGGGGGATTTATAATTTGTTTATAGGTACATTAATGAATACTCGTGCATGATTGATATAATACTATAGTCAGTTAAATGTAATATTATGATATTATCCGATAGGTATAAGTGGCTTATCTACTTGTCTCGCCTAATACTCGAAATTCGAATACGTAGGTAGTATAAAATACATTTATTAGTTAACGCAATTATTATTTTCAATTGTCATGTCATTTTTTTTATGTAGGCGACTCCACCATTTGTTGCAATTAAATACTGACAGTTTATTTTTTTAATTGATTAATTAAAAATATCTTCCTTTCCTTTCTTCTAAAAGTCTCAACTTTGTTGTTTGTGATTCATAGAATTAAAACGACTGCAGTAGACTTAATATTTGATTAGTTCTATGATGAAAATACAGTAAAAACGCGCAATATCCCTGCCACACCTCTGTAAATAAAGCTGCGCCAGTCATCTGTAGAAGATGTGACTACCTATTTGTTAAATTATATTTCTTACAATTCATAATCATTACTATACCACATAAAATAGCTAGGTACTCTCTTTATATTACCCATATTGTATTATGTAGATGCATTTTATAAAGTCACAAAAATTACGAGTTTACAAACACAGATTAATGATTTTTGTATAGGTACCTATACTTACCATAGTGTTAAAGCAAATGCCTTCACACTCGAAACGCATAAAAAAAAAGTTTTGATTGAAAAGTATTGACTTGGTTTCATGTATACAAAGAAAATATTATTAACTCGTCATAACGAACTAGAATTTAATTTGAAATGATAGGGAGTGCAGCAAACCATGATCGCATTGATCAGCCATCATACATCTAACTTCAGATCTTGCAGTGAGATGAAAACCACCACTAAATTTTAATCCGATTATATTTTACTTTGTGCTAATAGTTAATTGATAATAGTAACAATATAAATAACAAACATTTTTTTATCAAAATAAATATATATATTTATTACAGCTTAAGGTTTTTTCCAAAATTTCTGTCACGAATAATAGAAGGTAAATAATTTATATTGATTCGATGTACAATTTTCATAGAAAATTAATAGCAAATCATTATGTACATGGAAAAATCATTTTGAGAATTCATTTCATTCCAAAAACAAGTGTACGATCACCACGAGGAAATGACACCGAGTTACACTGAGTAAAATTACAATTATCAGAAAAGTGATGCACTTAAACTAAATTCTTAACAATAGGTACTCAGTTGTGTTTAAGATATGTATCTATCACGGCTCAAAAGGTAGCTTTAACTTTTTCGAGTCTATTACATATTTGATTGACATCACGATCCATTTCTTTACATTTTGAGGAACATTCTCCCATCCAGCTCGCCTCACCACTTCTATGAGACTATAAAATAAAAGTTAAACATGTATAAATTAATGCAATAAAATATAAATTGCATACATTTTTTTTAAAACTTACTTCTTCAAGATCACGTTTCCAAATATTTCGACAGTGTCCTGCACAAATAGGACACGGCCTCTCAAGGGAATATCCACCGCATTCTAAGCAATCTAATGATACGTGACGTTGCTCCCAGTTAACTCCACATCTAAAATCAATCAAAAATATGATTATACAGTAACCATTTGTTTACATTTTACAACAGAAATTGTTGATATCTAATATTGGGTGTCGGTGAACTATTTTAGTTATTTATTAATTTAAGGCTAAGGACTTCATCATGCCCTTAAAAACCTTAAAATATGCATTTATTTATGCCATAAGAAACCACTTAATATAGTATATACCCTTAAAATATGAGCAATTATTTAAATGTGCTGTTAAAATAGGTATGTCTTAATAACAGAAACATTTTGACAACGCTTTAAAATATTCAGAAATGTCGGAAAAATATTTTTATTGATACATTTATAAATTTATGTTGTATGTACCTACATTTATACACAATGTATAAAAATTAAATAAATAAATAAAATCTATATAAATCGATATTTATATCTTCAGACTCTGGATCTTCTGCTTGTCTAAATACAACACAACAATTCCGTATCTATTTTTTATCTATTTTTCTATAAATAATTTAATAAATACTAATTATACCACCCAAAATTAATAGTTGTATAAATGTATAACATTGTGTGATTAAAATTTATTTTTTTTATTTTTATTTATTATAGTTAAAATGTTTCAGCACAAGTATTTATTTTAAAATGAATAAAATCATATCAGTGGTTTATAATTTCAACAATAAATGTCCTGCAGACGAAGAAAACAGAGGAATTCTCTTTTAGCCTTTAAATACATATATTTTTTTTTTTACCAATTTAAGAAAAATTAAATTCTGATTTAAAAATATATATAAAATATGCTCTTAAAATAAGAATATAATAATAAAATATTCACTAACACTGAAAAAAGTAAAATAATTTGCAAAATATGTAAAAATATTACTGTGGACTCACTACTCAGGGTATTATGGAACAGATTCATATATTAGTTTATTACTAAGCTATATTTTGAATGAATATTAGAAAACAAACAAAGTCCTTTTAAGTTCCTAGGCTAGTTATTTTTAACTATATCAATATTATCATGATTAGATAAGTACCTATTCCTTTCATTGTACTTGTCATGGAAAAATAGGTATTAAATATATTATACGGCCGTAGTAACATTACAGGATAAAACTGTTTTAAATAGTATTAAAACATTGAAATTAATGCAAATTATGCATAGTATTATTAACATTTAATTTTAGTCGACGCTTTATGAATAAACATAATAACAACTATCAAAAATATCATAAAAAAGATGATATTTATAAATACATTCACAACCATCACGATGGCCTTTGAAAACAATATAATTGCACTGAACTTTGACATAATTTGGAATGTATATTAGTAAAATTATTTATAAAAATGTATTGGCTTAAGTGTCTAAAAAAATAAAAACTAGTTACAAATTAGTTGTACTACATACCGGAAACAATATTTGAAAACTTCTTTGAGCTCTTCTAGAGTTACTGCCTGCTCAAGATCACTGACTATATCCATGTTATCGAGCATTTTGTCATTAATGTTCATCAAGCTTTGGTTGTTCATAGTCTGGACACTAGTAACTGACATCTTGTTAGTATTCTCAACTAAAGTAAACAAAAACGATTGTTATGTTTTTTTTTTCATTATTTTCCTAACTGTATACATATAAATACTAGATATAAATTAAATGCTATATAATTAACTTTTATTTGTTTGTGAGCTTTGTTATGGTAGGTACGATATACCTAGTTATAATTTATTATGTTATGTTCTGATATACGACGCAAAACACTCAATATGTGCGTTGGTATTGTAATATACTTATATTTTAAACCGAGTCCGATTTTAATTTCGATAAATTAGAATAACACAACATAATATTTTTGATATACTGAATATAATAATAATTTGGGTTTACGAGGTCGTTGGTTGATATTTTTTTGTGCAGAACACAATGCATATACTATACTATTTCATACAATTATATAGGTATTATAAATGTATGTTTGTGCACTGTTTTGAATATTTGCACTTGAATGAAGTTTATTGATTTTATGACGAGTGATGAAGATATAATAATGATGTTAAATTTTTTGGGGAAGTTTTTTACTCGGTATTCTAGAATCTATAGAAAACCATACTTGGGATACCTAATTGTTTATACTCAAATCTTCGACAACCTTCAAGTCACATAATATTACCTACACAATTATTTTATTCAATCTCGACGTAATGTAAAAATATATCCCTTTATAAATTGCGCATTTGACATTATACCAATCTATGTATTGTGTAATCTAATTATTATTATAATATAATATCATTTAATGTACATAATATTTTATAAATTTATAAGGACAACTACTGGGTACAAAACAATAATGGGATGACATTCTATTTTGACCATTTACCCCGGAAAGCATTATAATCCTGAAAAACTGGTCAGCGTGGCCTTCATATTATTTTACATTCATAGACCGCTGTTAGCCCATACACGATAATGGCGTGTTAATAGGTAAATGGTAAAGCAATTAACAATGTTAGTTATTTGAAATTTGAATTCATATGATACGAAGGATAATTTTTTGTAGAATTAACGATTCTAAAGACTTAACCATTTTGGTAATACATAGTGATACTGATACTTGGTATATTATATTATAGTTTAAACCTTTACAACATTAAATGACATTATTAAATTTTCTGAACAACCGTGTTGGACAGAGATAAATCGTATACACCGATTAAACGAACCCTGTAACTTGTCATATAAAAAAGGACTGAGATGCAGTAGTTAAAAAGGATCTGAAAAACTGTTTATTTAGATCTCACTAACCACTAACCTAAGTGTTGTTGAATAGAAACGTAATATACATTTATAATATACTACTCATAACAAATTATTTTAAAGTATAAACTTGTTTATAGTTTTAGTCTTAAAGAATAATTAATCAATTTTTTAAGTACCCACCTAGATCGAAAAGTAATATATTTACAGTTTAGGTATATTATGTAAGTTATGAGTCTTAATAACAAAGAGTCTTAATATCTTTATAATCCAATATAAATTAATGGATCCTTACCATATTTTTAGAATAAAATTTAGTTTGTTCTGAAAATAAATTGAAATAATTTGGTCTTAATGTTCTTGAGATTTTAATAATACAATAATTATGTTATTGTCATTTGTCTTCTATACTTTTTCACACTTATTTAAGAATACACTTGTTAGTTGTTTTATATTAATAACAAACCGTAGTTAACTTATTCGCAATGGAATGCGCTAACGTTATAATATCAGTAATACTACCAACGACAGACCGTCATTGTAATATTTTTAATATTATTTATTTATTGGATTTATCTGTGGGTACATTGTTTTTAAATAGTTCAACATATATATTATGTTATTACTTATAACAAGCATTATTGGTACATTTCCTAAAATGTACGTAACTAACACAATAATTTCTGAATACATAGCATTTTTATAAATGTATTACATAATAATTTAGGAATTACATTTATTAACTACTTATGCCCTATATATTCGTATACCAATACGCACGTGTAATGCAATACCTATTTAATACAAGTATTTACTATCTAGGCACGTTAAACAATAAAGTGTAGAACATACTGATTTGTTTGGTTGGTGTATTTTAAAATATAATATGGCCCAATTTAAATATTTTACATTTCACATTCTCAAATTACTTAAAGTTTCATGGGCCTTGTTAAATAAGACATGATGCTTGCAATGGCTTCAGGTATATCCGTATTCCAGTGACCATGGACAGGCCGACACTGAACGTAACTACTTAATTACTAATTAGTAATAACTAATAAGTAAGTAATTGCATTAGGACATTTCCGCATTTCTAAAATCAAATGGAAATTGTTGGAATATTTTCTTTCAGTTTTTTGTAGTTGAATAGTAAGATAATCAAATGATAGAAAGCATTCATACAGCGTTTGATAACTTTAAGGTTCAAATCTCTTTTACAATTTGTTGAATTCAAGTCTTATTTGTGATTTTCTTCGAAGAAGTTAATTGTTAACGTATAGCATCAGGTAAAAAACATGCGGAAATTGAGATCACTTATTTAGACATGGTTTTATACTTTTATAAAGCTAAATAACCTTGGATATGCATAGTCTGGTTGGTGGTGTTAATGTACAACAACAATATAATATGCACGTGTCATCTTGTTTGGAAATTGTATACTTATGTACTGACGTATTGTTATTGTATATTTTACCCTGGCGTAATGTATGAAAATAAAATATAAATTTAACTAGGTGAGTATATAATTTTGTTTTTAGGTAGCTACGTATATCATAATGAATAACTATATTGATTTCAATCAACTCAGATGCCCCTGATAATTTACAGTGGTGTACCTATGTTTTAATATTTAATTTTATGTATATTAGTATAACATTATTTTCATAATAAAATATTCTATCATGACATTATAATTTATAAAATCAACGAAACAATAATGTTTACAAAGTTACAGCCTTACAGGTTAGGTACTTTATTTTGCGTTCATAATTTAAGCAAATTTCCTTAAAACTTAATTTTCTATAATAATTCTAAAATACTAGAAAAAGTCTTTTCCAAATTCTAAAAGTGTGAATAATGCGTGTTCCAATACGTTGTGACTGGGATGGATTTAATTAATAACTAATAGGTATACATTATATATACCTATATCCGGTAAATACATATTAATTGTAGAGTGACTAGGTTTTAAATCCGATCACATTATTATAAAATATTTCGTTCAACCTTAAAATGCAGTACTGTCTGGTTTATAATATAATCTATATAGATTATAGCTGTAGTATTATGTTTGTATTTTATGATGTTAAAAAACCCGTTCACGCTATGTTTCCTTATAACTCCTACCATTATAACAACTGCATATCTGGTTTTTCGTTATACCTACGTCTGAGGAATTCCCAGTATATTATTTATTATTATTATTATGGTTCGCAGTACATTTAAACATTTTGTCTGGTGGAATATCTGTAACTGGGAGTTACGGTATACAAAACTGGCCTTCTAAATCGATGTAATATTGCATGTATGGAGCAGCTGACTTCAAAATGTGTCGGAATGTGGGATTGATGACTTTTAAATGCATAATTAATTGCAGTCTCATACTCTCATTTCTCATTACACTCAAATTATTGAGTTATATTTTAGCATTAATTGCTTCATTACTTTGACTGTTCAAAAGATATTAAAGGTATTATGACAAATACTACAAATATACAGAATACCTATAGTTTTATTTATTTCAAGTTTTAATAAAACAATATTGAACGTTGCAGCATTTTACACAACTATACAATTTGAACCTACGTTTGTTCACATTGATACATTTTATTACTTATTTTGATTTACATTAGGCAAATTAAATTATTCGTCACTGATATAATATACCTTATTATTTTCAATAATCTAAGAGATTTATAAATTGAAATTTATTGTGAGTGTTGTAATCAACTTTAATAATAAAGTATAAGTATTGTGACGATTAAAATTAAAATTATAGGAAGTATAATATATTGGAAGGATATGTTATATTTATAATTTATACATTGTAACGCTGATGAGATATGCAAGGTTACGTTCTGAACTTGTTATATTGGGCTTGTAAATGTGAATTCCTCTAAAGTAGAGACATATTCTCTATAAATTTATACTAGTATATTTTGATGATTGTTATATTAGTCAATAGTCGTGTCATTGAGCGAAAAACATTCTTCGTTATTTTTTGGAATCAATGTCAAACCAAATTTTATACGATTTGACACGTTTGTTTGGGCAGAGGCCATTGCAAATATACGGTAGAAGCGTACTTTATTTTTTAGTCCATCAATTCGTACCAACTGGACAATATATTTGTGTCAAAATGTGTCTGCATTATATTTTTGCCTTGAAAAATACTAACATGTCTGTAGAATGCTTAAAAAGTTGAAAATTAATTTTATTTCTCATTTATTTTCAAAATTAATTCTATAACACGATCTACATAGAAAATAGTATTAACTGACACAACAATAATTTGTATGGTATCTAGTCAATACGCAAATAATGATAATAATATTCATTGTATATGCCATATTATACAATTTTTTTTCGATTTACATATTTTTATATCTCCTCTTTAATTGATTAACTGACGACACATTACGTGGTGCTACTGTTGTCTTATATTATGCTAATGAAACTGTTGATAGTTATATACCTACTTATACACGATGCTCGAGTTCATCGCGCATAACACATGTGTACATATTATACATTGCACAGCTGATACTTATTTTATCATTAATTACATTATTATTGTTTATTTCACTAGGTAACATAATGCATTTTACATCTGGTCGAAAATATGACTAGTTAGCAGTCTTGTAATATACATGGACAAAGTATTTTGAACATTTTTCTAAAGTATCTGTATTCAAAATAAAATACTAATATAAAAATATTATATATTTTTGCGGGTAGAAGTTTTCGTAGTTTATATATTTAATATTTTCAATTTAATCAAGTGGAATAAAAATAAATATTAAGAATATAATATAT